TCATAATGTTGGAAAACCCTGATCATGGGGAAGTCTGGACAACCAGAGGGTGGCATTGATTGCAGGGTGCAATGTGAAAGGCATCAACATTGGTTAGCTTGGCTGGTGACATTGGTCATGGAGAAGGAGGACTCTGAAATAGCCACTGAACGATAGAATACCAGACCAGGTGTTTTGTGAAAATATGATATTCTGAATCTGGTCACCTAAGAAAATTTGTGCTTAGCTTACTATCCCCTTGAGGTTGGAGACTGGAGAGGAGGAAATGGGGAGGCAAAGTATCAGAAGTCAAAAAACAACAAAGTATAGAAACAGCAATCAAAACCAAAGCATAAAACAGAACGTGTGCTGCAGAAACTGGCACACCCAAAAAACTGTATATGTTTGGCTCATCTTAAAATTCCAAAATCTCTCAAGATTTTCACATTTCCTTACATAGCAAGACTTCAGTTTCAAATGTTGAGGAATCCTTGCCATGTGCTAGATTGCTTGAAACCTGTGATTTAATTCAGCCCATACTAGAAAAAGCACCCTCAGGATAGCATTCAGGGTGAATTTTCTGGATGTCTTTCAGTGAATGTGTGAAAGAACCTGTTCCTTCCCTCCTTTGCCCTCACCATACCGTGCATATTTAATAAAGTGTTAGTGGAGGCAGGGAGGAGGAACGATGAGTGGGGAATCTCATTGAAACTTACAGAATACTGACAGGCCTGGATAGAGTGGACATGGAGAAGATGTTTCCACTGGTAGGAAAGACTAGGGCCCGAGGACACAGTCTCAGAGTGAAGGGATGACCCTTTAGAGCTAAAGGTGATGAGGAATTTCTTCAGCCAGAAGGTAGTGAACCTGTGGAACTTATTGCCACAGAGGGCTGTGGAGGCCAGTCATTGAGTGTCTTTAAGACAGAGATAGATAGGTTGTTGATTAGTAAGGGGATCCAGGAGAAGGGGAGAAGGCAGGAGAATGGGATTGAGAAACTTATCAGCCATGACCAAATGGAAGAGCAGACTCCATGGGTCTAATGGCCTAATTCTGCTCCTATATCTTATGGGCTTATGGTCTTAGATGTTTATACCACTGCAATTGAAAATATGAAAAGAAGCACCAAATTGCGGTTTTATTCAGGCCATCTCGTGTTTCCTGGTTACTTGCATACCATATGTTCAACGCTTGTTTTGTGTATTCCAGCTGACTTTGTGCTTTGTGATTTGGGAGTTAATTCGACCTGTTTTACATCCAATAATCAGCATTTTTGGTTTAAAGCAAAATTTGATGTTCAAGGCAGGGACTAAACTGTCTTCACTACCTCCTTTGATGGTTGCATTAGTCATCTAAAATTGACTTATTTCTCAAGCTGTTTTTCTTCCTCTTTTTGTATTTATGAATGTTTTCTCTCCTACCCTTGCCTCTTTGGCATTGTCCATTTCTGTGGGTACCAGTTATTTCCTAGCATCTTGCCCAAAAATAGAAAGATCTGTGTTGACATAAAGCCTTAGTGTATCTCTCAGCAACACACAAGACTCTTGTGCAAGGCACAATGACAGAAGTAGCAAATGAGACAATTAGCCAGCTAATCTGTGCTGTTGGTTGAAAAAGGAACATTGGCTGGGACATCAAGCGAACTCCCTACTTAAGCTTAAGTGGTGCCACAAGATCTTTAACTTTCACCTGAGCTCCTGCAGGATATATTTAAAGCAAATCTTCAGTTAGGGCTTGAATCCATAAGCTTATGACTCAGACCAACTAAGCCAATTCAATTTTGCCATTCGTTATATCTCAAATTGGATTGTGTGTGATAGTAGCTGATTTAACTACATGGGTGCAGTTGACCTCCTGCACTGCAGTTTAAAAGAGGGTGTGGATAAGATGGAGAACAGAACGGAAATATAAACATAAGATAGTGCATGAAATCTAAATTTGTATATACCTGTACTTCCTGTGTTGTAGATTTGGTCCATATTGTGCTATAACGCTAATCTGTTTACATTGGGGAAAAATACTAAAATTAAGATTGTAAAAACAATACATGCTATTT